AAAGTGGCGAGGAAACAAAAGTGGAGGACGTCCTATTCCATTTCATTCCGTGGGGATAACACAACGACAGCAGCCCCGACCGGTCAGCCAAGCGATTCGGAAGAGACGTTTCTTGTCTCTGTCGCACTCATGGGGCTCTCCGAGAGGTTGCGAGAGAGACAGAGCGACAAACCAACCTTCAGAGTCGTTCGTCAGGACCAATGAAATGTGGAGCGGACGCGGTGAAGGGACAAAGCGGTGTCTGGCCACAAAAGGAGACAAGAGGAGCCATAGCATTCTTATCTGCGCCGCCATACATTTTCATATACCCACACGCCGCCACCGCCATAATCCCACGGCCACAATTTTTATTGAGATTTACGCCAGAAAAAAAAGAGAAACATTGAATGTTTTTGTACAGTTTTTTTCCGAGACGAAATTGTTATTTTGTTTTATTTTCGTACAGACGAACTTTTTTGTGTAAATCTGTGCGCGATTTCGCAGACCCCACGCGCGCATGAAAATCACACAGAAAACTGGAAAGTCACGTACAAAATTGTACATGACGCCTGTTGTGTGCAAACCTTACCAGTGTGCGTTTGCACGTATAAACATTTGATGACATTCCATTTTTCCGCCAGAACAGAGTCAACGCCTTCGCGACGCGAGAGTTCCACGCTCGAGGCGGGAAGCGGCGCTCGCAGTCGCTGGACTTTGCCGCTAGAGTGCGCTGCTGTGGACTGATTCCGAGAGTCGTTTTCGTCGCTCTGTCCCTCTCGCACTCATGGGGCGTCCATTATAGGTGCGAGAGGGACAGAGCGACGGAAGCGACTCTTGGAATGAGACTGCAGTGCCTCCGGGTGCGGACGGAGACATGCAGCACGAGGGGAAAAGAAAGAAAGAAGGCCAGCCTGACTCGGCCTGCGACTGACAAGCCGATCTCCGGGCGCTCCCCGTGCAGCCCTCGCTGCCGTGCGCAGCGTGGCCACGTCTCCCAGTGACGTCATGGCAGTGGGCACCCACGGGTGCACCCACGGGTGCGGCCCGGACAACGCCACGCCCTCGCCAGCCACCACACGACACACTGTTATCCACGAATGTCACGTCAAAGTCGTTGTCACGTTCGCTCGACTGCGAATTCTCTTGCGTTCGATTGAAATTTTATTTTTTCACGTTCGTTTGAGGGTGAATTTTGTCATGTTTGTTTCAATGTGCACATAGTCACGTTCGTTTGAACCTGAATTTTATCAGGTTCGCTGTGAATTTTTTCACCTCATATTTGCTTGAAGGTTAATGTTTTCACGTCATATCAGTTTGAATGTGAATTTTTCTACGTCGCATTTGCTTGAATGTAGAATTTTTATACGTCAGATTCGTTTGAATGTTGTTTTTTTTTTCACGTCATATTTGTTTGAATGTGAATTTTCTTCACGTCATATTCACATAATGTGAGTTTTGTGTGAATTTTGTCACATTCGTTTGGATGTGATGTCACATTCCTTGGAACATGACGCGGCTGCCTTCAGATCATCATTCAAACGAATGTGATATCAAGGAATGACTAAATAATCAATTTTACGAATCTTGTATTTGCACCCAAACCGATCGAAATCATTCATTGTCTCCAGAGACATTCTTATGTGTCAGGGAGAAAAATCCTACTCTCGTCCCGTCTGTTGGTGCACGCGCTCAAAAACCCCTCGAGACGAGAACGAGAACCTTGGCGCCGCTAAGCGCTTTCTAAGGGCACCTGGGCCAGCCGGCCGATTCCAAACCGAGTCGCACTGACTCTCTCGCTCTCACGCTCCGTTTCGGAGGGGTGCGGCAGGGGGAGAGAGAGAGAGAGAGAGAGAGAGAGAGAGAGAGAGAGAGAGAGAGAGAGAGAGAGAGAGTACGGTTTGGAATCGGCCTGCTGAGCGGCGGACCCTTCGTCGTTTGAACAATGCCCCACCACCATCATCGTCTCCCCGGTGGAAACTGCAAAATCCATTATTTTCTGAATAACGTCCAAAGCGGCGCTGCAACAACAGATTGGGGCGTCTTCCGGCGCAACCCGTTTCTCGTTCTTTAATTAGAGAGAGAAAAGGAGGGGGGAGGGAGGAAGGAAAGGGGGAGGTAGAGAGAGAGAGAGAGAGAGAGAGAGAGAGAGAGAGAGAGAGAGAGAGAGAGAGAGAGAGGAGAGATGTTCCTCCCAAGGTACACAATTACCTGCGAGTCTCCTCCAATCATTCCCAGGCCACGTGCAGCGAGTCGAGGAGAAGTGGCCCGGTGAAATGGATACAGTCCGAACGGGGCCCCACAGGGGGTGCGTGGCTGCGGCAGCATTCGTTTGCTCATCGCCCGTCTGTCTGTCTCTGTCTTTCGCTCTCTGTCGCGCTGTCTGTCTTTTGTTGTCTGTCTTTCGCTGTCAGTCTGTACGTCGCTGTCTGTCCGTCTTTCCCTGCCAGTATTTCGCCGTTTGTTTGTCTGTCTCTCTGTCCCTCTGTCTGTATATCTGTCTGAATGTCCGCCTGTCAGTCTGTCTGTCTGTGGCACTGCCAGGACGGGTCAAAAGCAACAAGCACCTCATCCCGGGAGGAAAATAACGCAGCGTTTTCGTTTTGTTGCTCCTGTTTACTAAGCACGCGCCATTATTACGTTGAATGTGACGGCCCAGCCGTGCATATGCAGCAACGCGCACAGGGCGCACAAAAAAAGCAAGGAACAACAGAGAGGTTCGGACCGTACGATGGGAAAAAGTCAGCATAAAAAAAGGATAATGTAAACTTAACTTCTTACGGATACGCGTACCCGCATCACGGGGGTTTTGAAAAAAACGTTGCATACGGATGGATTTAGGCCCAACATGAGAGACTCATGGAGTTTGACAGATTGTTTCATCCGTCTTTCGTCGCCATCGCCTTCCGACGATTTTGTTTTAACGTTACGGACACAAAAACCTTTGAAAATCGTCCGCATTGGAAGCGAGCACTGTGAGAAAAAAACGGAAAAAGTAAGTAACATGTCTGGTCAATAATTTGCCTGGACCATCCGTACTTGCCAACTACGGAACGTTCCGTACTTTTTTTCCGTACCCATTTACATGGGTTACCTCCGTACTATATTTTTCTGTACCATTTCTGTACCAAAAGTACGGAATTTTTTACAGTGAGATCAATCCGTTGTCCCGTTTGCAAAGCTATACGGATCGCGGCGCGGAGTGACTGCATGGTAGAGACTGTGAATGGTGAAAACGGGAACGGATGGGATAATTTTTTTGCCAGATACTGGGGGCAAAGGTGACTTAAGTGGCTCAAACGCCAACAAATGAACATGATGATACAATTCACAAATAGAGCCAAAACACACTTATGCGCGAAACGCCGTGAAGGGGCATTGCGAGATTCGTTCTCCAGGGGCGCGGCGTTGGGCGAATAATTGGTTGTCGACCCTCCCCGGCGTCGTGGCGGGGCGTGGCGGGGCGTGGCGGGGCGTGGTGGGGCGTGGCGGGGCGTGCGTAGAACGACAGTCGGACAAGACAATTACTGAGAATGCCCTTTGCTCAAGCCGTTTAGCCTTCTGGACGGCGACGCTGGATTCGGGCCATCGGATAGCGGGGCTGCTCGGCAACTGAAATAAGGAGGGGCTATCCTACTCAGCGCGAGATTCGTCCCCATCCTCCGAGAGGGTCTTATTAAGGGCCGAGAGACGTCATTGACTGGACGATGCCCCGTGGTGCCGTGCGGGCCTAGTCTGGCCAGTTCTTTCCCCCGCGGTGCCTTCACCCCGCGGGGACGGCGACGCCCAGTCAGCATCGCGCTGCTCGCACCCCTCGTGAACCGTCCAGGTCCTTTGGCTTACTGCGCGCTTGAAGGTCTACGAAATATTTTAGGCATACGCGGGATTGCACGTGCAATCTTAAAACAAAAATTGTTGTCAGATAACAAAAATCTTGTTAAACTACAACGCAACTCTCTTTTATTGCGATGGCATTATTGTCACATGACAAGGTAGTTGTAATCGTTGTAATACAACATAAGAGTTGTCTATTGATAAATTTCCCGTTCAGACACCAAACAACTGTTGTAATTTAACAATACTCCAGTAGGTGATTGTGTTGTCATATTACAGTGAATTTTTAACAGTGCACCTGACAAGTATGTGTACCATCTCTTTCGACTCCGCCGTGTACACACTTCACGATGAGTCCGAGCGGAACAAAGTCCAATGTCCAGAGCCCAGCAAGCTTAGAATCCGATGTCAGATGACCCTATTTTTTGCCCACTTTGTATTTGTGTCCGATAATTTTCTCGACTTCTATGGCAGGGATTGCCACAGAGAATCCAGTATAAATAACAATTTTCCAGGCACGAGTAAACGTAAAGGGCGTGGAAATGAGAAGAAATCTATTTTTTTTAAGACTAGAGAAGAGAGGATACCGAGTCAGAAATAGCGAAAGGAGGAGTTTTGTGACGTCAGATTGTGCTCGTGGAGCTCAGGACCACGGACATTGTGCTCACGGAGCTGAGGACACCCGATTTCGTGCCCGCGCAGTTCTGAACATGGGGATATCATTGAATTTCGGTGTACAAATCCAACGAATTTCAGTCGAATTCCGATGAATTGCAGCCAAATTTCGATTAAGTTTAACGAATTTCAGTGAATTTTACATCACTCGTGTAAATTTTGTCAGAATGTCAGAAACATGTCTGAAATCCTGATCAAAATTCGCGCACCTCTGAAAGCTGAAATTCTGAAAACTTACTCTGATATTGATGGTGTGAGTTCTACAGAATGTCAGGAGATGTTTTCAGCTTTCAGAGGTGCGCGAATTTTGATCAGGTTTTCAGACAGGTTTCTGACATTGTGATAACATTTACATGAGTGATGTTTGATGAATTTCGGTGTGCAAATTTGGCTGGAGTTATTTCCCGTTGGCTCGAACATCGGACTTCGCTCTTAGGACCCATCGCTCAGTTTCGAGAGTTTTCTAGACATGGCGCCGTTTCGAGATGCGCCAATCGCGCGGTCTTGACACTCACACTACGATGTGGTAGAAGATGGACGGCAGGCCGCGGGGCCGCTCCAGGAAGTTGTAGACCCTGCTCTGGAGGCGCCGGTACCGGGCATCGCGGCGGGTGTTGGCGCGGTAGTTGAGCGGCTTTCCCAGCAGACTCATCCGGGGCTGTTGGAGCCGGCCGCGCTTGTGTCGCGTCAGGCTGGAACAAAAGAAGGGCCGGAAAAAATCAGCATCTCTGGCGGGGAAACATCAGCCGGTCACTCCTGACTGATTTCAAGCCGCTTGCCCTCTGGGGGTGGGGGAGCCAGCTTTCGGCTTTGGCTTCGGCGAAGTTCCCGCCAAGGTGACACGCTCACCTCGTGTTCATCCTTCTGATCTTACGCCCTGGGGCGGGGTGGGGCGGGGTGGGGTGGGGCGGATGGCAGGCCTGGAGGGAATGGGCGGGGGCGGACCCGTGACCTTGGCGAAGGCGCTGACGGTGAGTCGTGTACGCGCAAATGGAATGAATATATCTCGAAAACATGACGCGAGCGGCTGATCGTTTACTTCAATCGTTGTTGTTGTTGATGATGATGGTGATGGTGGTGATGATGATAATGATGATGCCGGTGATAATGGTGATGATGCTATCAGCTGAACTGCATTCATTGTATGCAGAAATTACTGCATGTATGCTATGTGTAAGTGCAGCAAATACTGCATTCATGTCCATATGCAGTAAATGCTGCGTACATGCTACCTACCAGCTGTATACATGAGCATGTACGCAACAATCACTGCCTATGAGCATGCACGCAGCATTTGCTGTATAAATGGCATGTATACAGTATTTACTGTATAAAATGCATACAGCTCGGCTAACAGTTTAACTGACAGAGAGGTGGTGATGATGATAAAAGTAATCGGGCACGTTTGGGTGATATTTATGTAAGTAAAACTATTGCCCAAACGGCGCGTACGCCGGCCTTGGCTACAGGGCTCGCCGGGGGCTGGCCAGGGTGGAGCAGGACAGGTCTGAGGTGCGCGGGGCCGCGACGCGGTCAGCACGCTGACAGGAAATCGATGGCATCAGGCCAGCCGCGTTAGGCGTGGCGTGGCGCAGAGTGGTCAGCACGTTGCTGCCCACCAGAGTCTCGGGACTGCACTACCGTGCCGAGCACGCAGCACCATACACTCGTGTAAATGTTATCACAATGTCAGAAACCTGTCTGAAAACCTGATCAAAATTCGCGCACCTCTGAAAGCTGAAAACATCTCCTGACTTTCTGTAGAACTCACACCATCAATATCAGAGTAAGTTTTCAGAATTTCAGCTTTCAGAGTAGTGTTCTGAAGGGTGGGAATATTCCCGGGAAAGTTGGGAATCTTGGGGAACGTTACCGGGAACGTTCAAGGCTCCAAAACGGGAACGTTCCCGATTTAAAGAGAAAATGAAGTATAAGTACCGATAAATGCAAGAATTTACTGGAAATTTACATGAACTATGGTTTCTGCCTACGCAAGTTGAATAATGTTATTGTTTTAGACCAATAAGGTGGGCTAAAAATAACGATTTTAAGAAATCGCGAACGTAACATCCTTAAAAAACGCTTGTTCTACTACTTGACGTGAATTTTCGGTACTATGGGCAGTGTTAGGCTCTTGGCTCGTCCTCACCAACCGATGCGACTAAGAACTGATCGCTTATAGTATGGTAGCCATTTGTCGACTGGACCCACTGGCTTCACGGGGACCTACTAATATGTTGAGAATCGACCTGAAAGTTTTCAAAGAAGTTTAGAGTCTTATCGACTTAAAACGCAAGTCTTTATAGTCTCAAATAGTAATGGATTCAGGCTGTTTACGATGGAAAATTGCGAGAATAGTCAAAAATTTGCTTGTTTGTATTCTCCAGTAGGCAAATAAAGTTATTTTATTAAAAAAGCTGAATATTCCCAGTTTTGGGGAATCTTTGGAAATGTTCCCGGGAATTCATTGGGAACGTTCCCCAAACTGATCTTTCCCGGGAAATTTAGAACACTATTTCAGAGGTGCGCGAATTTTGATCAGGATTTCAGACATGTTTCTGACATTCTGACAAAATTTACACGAGTGTAAGCAGACACAAGCAGACACTGTGCCTTGGCCTTCGCCGGAACACTCGTTTGGAACACTCCCAGCATGTTACTGACTTTTCCTCATTTTGTCAGTACTTATGCAAGTAATTTGAGCAACCATAATACGTACTTTTCTTTTTTGGCCCGTCCCGTTTATTTTTTGTAAAAAAAATGACGGAGGGACGGGCATATAGTATGATCCCTGCTGTGCGTCCGTTCGTTCGTCCGTCCGTCCGTCCGTCCGTCCGTCCGTCCGTCCGAGGACTTCCCGTGGTCCGATCTTGACCATATTTGGTATGCAGCCTCCTTGGGTGACCCTAAGAACCGCCCGGTGGCAGCAAATCCGATCCGAGCCCCGGGGGCGCTGCTGCAGGTGCATCATGGTCTACATGGGGTCGAGGAGGATCTCGGCAACGGATGCAGCTAGGAGGGCATGTAGGGGTATTTTTGGAATCGGGGCGACGAGAGAAAACCAAGGGCGCCAGTTTCGAGCGAATCGGAGATGTTCGGACCCGGGTTTAAATCCCAGCGGGGTATTTTTTGAACATTCTTTTTATTCGAGTTTTTGAATTGTTTCTGATGTTTTTGAGGGGGCTGATGACGAAAACGACATTTATTTTAACCCCAGACTCGGGTTTAATTCCCGTCAGGGTCAAACATAGGCGAAATTCGTACGTTTCTTAATGTACGGGACGGGCCAAAGTTGCCGATGTATGTCGCTACTTTTCCAGTTATTTATAGAACTACTTAGGAAATATTGAATAATGTAATGACAATTTGGTTTCGTTCATAATTTTACAAAGGAAATTGTCATACTTAGAAAATTTTCGAGTATTTAGAAAATTAGAGTATTATTGTTGCTTATACGTATAAGGGCAAGAAAAGTCGAACCCTGGTGGAGCTGATCTCTTGACTTTTATCCATCCCTCGACCAGTGATTTCAACTTTACATGAAAATCTGAGTGTGAAAACACTGTTAAATCGATGTCATGGAATGGAGCAGTAGGCCAGAAGAGGGGTGTACTTTTCTTACCCTGTACTTTTCTTCCCCAACCTACCCCTAAGAGTCCGTTGTACGAACCCACATAACTGCAAATTCCATCTGCCACCCTGAGACAGGGCGACGACCCATATTTTCACAAGGTGTGTCCTTCAAAGCATGCGTTCCGGCAGTTTTATACAGTGGTGGTACCGTGAAGCATGATTCGACGTCTGAGAAAAATAATGTGCCCCCCCCCCAACCGCTTGGAAAAAAAAGAAGGGTGAAGTCCGTGGAAAAGGCGTGTGCGACGATCCGGTGCTGCTCGCAGGGGCGGATTCGCTAACCCGATGACTGTCACTGCTCACTTCGGGGCCAGGACTCTCCTTTTGCTGAGTGGGTCGTTTTGGATCAGAAAAAGAAACGGCCGGCTCTTTGGAGACTCAACGCAGTGTGGGCGACCGGGGGAGGGGCAAGCCTTTCCTGGCTCCCTTGTGCTGGTTCCTAGAGTCAGGGAGGTACCTCTCTGGTGCTGAAAAATGGGAAAGAAAATAACACCCGGAGAAGGTTGAAATGGGTTCGCTGAAGAATGCGCTGATTTTTCATGTGTTCAGAAAAATCCAAAATGAAAATTTGTTGAAATTCATTTTACAGTCATCCTTCATCCTCAGCTTGGAGGAAGGGAGCACTTAAAAATTCGGGGGTTTTGCTCTGGGATTCGTCTATTTTATTCTGCGTGCGATTTTAGCAGTGTGGACTTGACCTCTTAAAAGCCTTGAAGCATCGTGCCGGCTCCTCTGTCCACCAGCTTCATGGGGTGCGTCGCCCCGGGCGTGGCGGTGGCCACCAGGCACCACCCGGCCGCCGCCAAGTTTACCCGTTTTGCCGCTTTGAGGGGCCGTTACTTTTTTGGATGTCATAAGCCGGCCCGGGCAAACATCAAACTCCGAGTTCGTTGCACAAACAGGGTGCCGCCATTAGCTGGACCCGCGGGCGTGTGCTCTGCCTGCACTGCTCCGCACTGCTCTGCGCTAGAAGGCCAGAACTCGAGTAATTGTGCTGCGGGGTGCGGCGTTGCCTACACTGCAATTCTATTGGCAAGTTTCCTTGCCACTCTACCGGCGCTCCGGTTTGGGTGCCAAAATTTGGCCTTCTGGGTCCGTATCGCCCTCGAGACTGTCAAATTTTGGCACTCCCAGAAGGACATACCGACTTAGGAGTCCAAATTTTGGGGTTGAAAAGGGGACGCCAGTGGAGAAGCAGGAGAACTTGCCGAATGATTTGCTGTGTATGTTCGTTCGTAGGGAGCCGCACGCGCACAGTGGGTGGGACCTGACCTACACTGCTTTAAGGGGGGAGCCTCGTCAATTTCCGTCAATAAAGCAGATTTTCGTTTTTGAGATTTTTGAATTCTTTGCATCAAACCCTTTCATTATGTGGCTGATTGGTTTCAAATTTCGAAACCGTTCGGCCAGAGGACAACATTTTGTAAACTATTTTCCACTGGTTAGGTTAGACCGTTCAAACTTTAGGGCCATTTTACTCAATTGCGATATTTTGGGCCTTGCGCGCATGATTTAGGCCAAACCGTTTCACGTATTGACTTGAAATTTTTTCTGGTGTTACACCTAAACAAGACCCATAAATTGAACCTCTAGTTTCCAAATTGAACAACTGCAAGTGTTTTTTTTAACTTCTAAAAGATCAATTTTTGTATACTTTTAAATATTTTTTGTGAAATGTAAAATAACAACAGTTAGAAACCAGATGTGTTAAACCTAGAGGTTCAATCTCTAAAGCCAAGTGTCTAGTTTCAGAGGAAACAAACGGATTTGGAAAAAGTTGTCGGATAGCTTCAAAACCTTGCGCGCAGTGAACGTATGTCTTTTTGCAAGGTATTTTTGAGGGGTTACCTCACCAGATATACATTCCCACCAGATATAATCCCGCCAGATATAAATCTCACCAGATATACACCTAGTAATTTTATTTTTATAAACGCATATTCACACGAAATATAAATCCCACCAGATATACAGATATTTATATTTTAAAATTAACCGTCTCACCAGATACAATTCCCACTAAATATAATTCCCACAAAATATAATTCTCACCAGGTAT